TCTCTCTCTCTCTCTCTCTCTCTCTCTCTCTCTCTCTCTCTCTCTCTCTCTCTCTCTCTCTCCCCCCCCCCGCGCGGAATATCCATTCCGCCCCCCCAACACAACACACCCTCGTTTTTGCTGCACCTGACCAGAAATATAGCTCGTATACATTCCATATAAGGGTGCGTTGTGCTTGGGGGAAGATGCACTCCTGCTCTCTCTCTCTCTCTCTCTCTCTCTCTCTCTCTCTGATCGGCATCCACAAAAGGTGAGGGCCGAGGGAAGACGTCCCTTGAAGGCCAAAAAAGACTCCCGTACGGGGGCTATCACCCCATGTTCTTTTTTCGTTTGGGGGGGGAGCTAAAAACCCGCGAAAAGTAAGTTTGCGGGTCGAGTTCAACCGAGTACAACACGGGTTTTGTACTCACGTACAACGCGTGGTACGCGAGTACAATTTTTTTTTTTTTTTGAACGCCAGATACGCCTAGACTTCACCTGTACAAAGCTTCAAACTGCAACAAAGTACCAAAAGTTACACATTAGACGGTACTAGATGACTTGGAAGTTGGAATTTCGTTGTTCTGTTGACACACAAAAAGTCTCTCGATTACTATGGGATTCAGCGGAATTGTCAACTTGATAATCAAACATTGAACTGCATTTGTTGAATTTCGCTCAATTCAAAAAAGGAAGTTCGACAAACCGAATGGAAGAGGGCAATGATCAGAAACCAGGCCGAAGGCATCTTCATAAAGTCTCACAAAACCGAACACAAAAGAGAAAAAGCCACGAAATCTTCAGCAAAATGGAACATAGTTGGCCAAGCTCACAAACAGTGCAAAATTGCAAATGTAATGACCTGCAAAATCGCAGACCGCAAAAACTGCTGTTTTTCTGAGTATTGCTGCTGCTTGTTTGTGACTGACTTGCGTGCGTGCGCGACTTCTGAAAACCCATGTCATGTGCTTGCTGTGTGAACGATTGCATGACCCGCTGGGATAACCTGTGTGCTGGAATGGCCGGCGGCCCTGGTACTTACCTGTGGCTGTGTGCGCGTGAGGTTGCAGCGGGGTAGTAGGTAGACTCGGAGACCGTGCGAAGAGGCACTACTCCAGTATATCAAAAGGAGAGGCAAAGGGTTCTGCCTCATTTGCTTGCGTACAGCTTGGAAGCACGCTGCTGGAGCAGCCGCTCAGCTAAGGCAGTGCTGGGCGGAGGACGAAGGCAGGCCTTGGCATCCACCACGGTTATGGTGGAAGGCACCAAGGAGGAGCGTAGAAGAAGGGGGAAGAAGAAGGGGGAAGAAGAAGGAGGAGGAGGTAGAAGAAGTTGCAGGAGGAGAGTGAAGAAGTTGCTTACCTTGGCTATGGTGGTCTGCATCTTGATCTTCTTGGTCGTTGCTGCGCCTGGAAGGCCCCAAGTGGGTGATATCTTGGAGGAAGACTCCGGGGGTGGAAGCAGGCATGGCAGGCAGGGTGAGAGGGGCACAGTAGCGTTGCATTGTTGTCCTTTAAAATCGGAGTCCAGCTCCCATGGTCCGCCATAGCCACTGGTTTGACCAAGCAGGAGTAGGAGGTGTGGGATGGCTATGGTGGACTTCCGGAGAGGCTGGCAGTAAGGGGAGCAATCGGACATTGATTCTTTCATTCATTCATTGTTGCTGTTAATTATTATTATGAATTAGATTTCATTCATTCATTGTTGCTGTTAATTATTATTATGAATTAGATGTTGGGGGAGATGTTGGAGGGGGGAGATATTGGCGAGTTGAGGGAGAAGTGACATTGGTTCTTGCTTGTGTTTATCTTCTTCTTTTTCTTCCATTCTCATTTCTCCTTCGCCCTTTGCGTATTTCAGATAGCTCAATTTCTTTCACTTCAGTTGCAATTGAACGGCATTGTCTTGCTTTGAGGTTCTGCTCTGTGAAATAGCCAGGATCATAACAATTGGTATCGGAGCGGTACTTACTTGCTGGCAAGAGGATGTGTTGTTGCCCTAACCCTAATCCGAGTTTGATTAGGGCAATTAATCTCAGATTGGGGTGAGCGGTACGCGGGAGCTGCCCTCACCCGATCTAGGGCTTGTAGGGTCGAAATTGACTCTGACCAGGATGATTTAGAAGAAGAAAAACTGAATGCCTTGAAAAAATATGCCATTACTAACGTGGGACCTGGCCGCAACTTTCTGAAAGAGTCTCAATCCCAATTACCTCAAGGGGCTAAGATTTCCGCCAATATGGAGGATGCAAGTACAAAACCATGGAAAGACCTCTGTATCAGCAAACAAGTTTGGGGACTTTGGGAACATAAAACGGAAAATAATGTTTGTCTGCATTGTGAAACGAAAAGCGCGTTTTTTCCAAGCAGTGGGCGCAGAGGAGTTGTCAATTCTCTCTAGAGCAAGGTAGGGTGAGCCATTGGATGAGGGTGGTTCCAGAAAGGAGCCTGAATCTGATCAACAGCCTGACCTTGACGCCCAATCCGTTGCAGTATGGCAAAGTGTCTTGTATGAGGAACCAAAGGAGGAGTCCGCTGAAGTGGACTTCCGTTACGCACTGGGCCAAGCTTAGGCAAGGCCGGGCACAAGGGGGAATGGACCTCATCTCCTCTCTTACATCTGTGCGCTGATTGACTGCGGTGCTCCGACTAATTTCTTCTCTCCACGCGGTATTCGCACGGCAGGACTGAGCATGAAGGTAGTGGAGTTGCAGAATCCCCGCGGGACAAAGGTAGGGGTGACCAAGTGGTTGTCGCATCCATGCATGCAGTCAAAGGAGTGCGCACTACTCTGATGCAGATCGCACAGTCACCCATGCACTCGACTACTACATCATGGACGAGTGTCCTTTTGAAGCGGTCATTGGCTTGGGTTGGCTCAAGGCCCAATGTGAAAGAACACTTTGGACGGAACCCCGTTTCATTGTACTTGACGCTGAGGGATGTGAGTGTTCCGTTCTCTTGGATGAAAGGCACGAGTCCCGGTGACATTTTTAAACGTCAGTTCTGCAAGAAGTGGTGCAAGTGTGACAAGAAAGAGCAGATTGTGGCGAGTTGAGGGAGAAGTGACATTGGTTCTTGCTCGTGTTTATCTTCTTCTTCTTTTTCCATTCACATTTCTCCTTCTTCCTCTGGTTATGTCTCTTCTCGATTTCTTTCATTTTGGTTTGCAATTGAACGGCATTGTCTTTCTTTGAAGTTCTGCACTGTGAAATAGCCAGGATCGTAACACAAACAAAAACAAGATGCTCTCGAGCAAAGAAAAAAAAAAGAGAAAACAAGGAAAAAAAGACTTGCACTCCTTATGCAACCCCAGCATCGTGTCAATCATACCCAGACACGACCATGGCAAAACATTGCGACCATCGACAACCGAGGCGTAAGGGGTGGGGAGGGAGAGAGAGAGTGAGGGGGTGGAGGGAGGGAGATAGATAGATAGATAGATAGATAGATAGATAGATAGATAGAGATAGATAGATAGATAGATTGATAGATGGATAGATAGATAGATAGATAGATAGA